CGTGCACCAGCGCCTGGTAACCAGAGCCCTTCACCCAGCCACAGGTGTTGATGACGCAGCCGCTGACCGAGGCGCGGCGGTTCACCTCGCAGCGCTGGTTGAACACGTCGGCCAGGCGGGACGTGATCTGTGGGGGAACACGGGCAGAGCGGTCAGGACGCAGGCTCCCACTGGGGGCACCCATGTCCTGGGTCACTTCTGCACCACCCCCACCACCTTCAACACCCCCAAATCTCAATCCCTGCAGCAGCACCACACGGAGAGAGCTCCATGGAGCAGTCCTGCACAGATGGCAGCAGGCCAGAGGCTGGGCCTGTCCCACTGCTCAGGGACACTGTGACCCTCCACTTTCCCCAGGACCCTTGGTTATGTGCTGCTGGGCCATCAGAGCCATGTCCAGCTCCTGAGCAGGCCTCTGGGATAAAATCCTTCACTCCCCCCTCAGCTGAGAGCCCCAAGGGCCGGTTTCCCTTGGGGGCAGCAGAAACCATTCCTAAATTGTTCTACAAGCACTTAAAGCACAGAGAGATGCTTTTCTGTTCTGAGGGCTACCAGGGCAAGGGCAGCACACGGCTATGGCCTCTCTCACCAAACAGCAGCAGCAGGAAGATTGAGGGGGGACCCTACAGGGGTAGGACACTGCATGGTGACAGCCACCGCCCTCAGGCTCACTCCAGCTCCACACCAGAGCAATCAGACCATGGCCACACCCACACTTGGTGCCCTCTCACTCAACAACCCCATGGGCGAAGCCAGCTCAATGCAACCCACAGCTTTGGCTTCACCCTCCACAGTAGCCTGTGAGGGGCCTAGCCAGGGGCTCCTGAGCAGCAAGAGGCTCAGTCAGGGGCCCTCAGCCCTCACGCTCCAGGCTCCCCAAGGGGCTTCTCCAGACCCTCTCTCATTGCTGTTACACATCTCTGGCATCCTCTACACCCCTGGGGAGCTGTCGCACACACAAGTGGGCACAATGCTCAGACAGGGACATGCCACTATCCTGTGTGGTGGCAAAAGCAATGAGACAGATCCACTCCGAACCGGGCCCATCCCCAGGCTGAGACCCCCACGGGCACTCCTGCTCTCACCTTGTTGTACAGCTTGATGTTGGTGCCAGGCGTGGTGGAGCCGAAGTGGTACACGAGCGGGGCCTGGAGGGAGAAGCCCTCCTCCACGTCGGCCGGCCGCTCAATGTACAGCGCACCCATAGTGCCAGGGATGGAGACAGAGCCCTGCCCCACGTCCAGCTCCACAAAGGTGGGCCGGCGGCCCAGGCGCACGGCGTAGTTGAGCAGCAGGCGGCACACGGTGGACTTGCCCACGTCCGTGGGTCCCACCACCATGACGCGGGGCCCGCGCTCGTCCTCGCGCTCTGCCTGGCGCCGCATCTGCTCCAGCGCCGTGTGCGTGTTGAGGTACAGCAGCATCGGCGTGTCCTTGGACACGTAGGCCACCTCGGTGCGGCCGCTGAGCTGCACGGTGCAGCCGTGCCACGTGAACACGGCCACCTTGGCGCCGGCGTCGAACGTGAACTTCTTGTTGCGGGTGAGCTCGGTGCCGAACACCTCGGCCATGCCGCTGAGCAGCTCCATCTGCACCGTCTGCGACGCCTCCACCTCGAACCGCAGCTCCGTCTCCCGCTCCAGCTCGAACTTGGCCACTTGCTTCTTCTCCTCGCCGCCGTCGTCCGCCATGGCGCGACCCTCAGCGCTGCGGGAGGGCGCCGCGTGGGGATGAGCGGGGACAGGCCGGGCCTGCCCCGAGCCCCTCCCGCCCGTTGCCGGCCTCCCCCGGGCTCAGCCCGTTGCCATGGCACCGCCGGTGCCCCCGCCCGCCCCCGAGCCCTCTTACCGGAGCCGCCGCGCTTCCGGGCCAGAAGAGCTGCGCCGGAAGTGATGTCAGAGCTGCGCGCCCCGGAGGAGGGGGGGGCAGCAGCGGCGCTGGTTGCCATGGCAGCCGCGCGGGGTGACGTCTAACGCATGGGCGGAGTCTGCCGCGGCGCGGGCTCGTTTGCATCTCATTTGCATACGGCCCTCGAGCGCCCCCCTCTGCTTTTGTTACGTGTCGTTAGACTGGGTTTCCATTGGTCGGCGCGGTCCCGACTCATTTGCATCTCATCTGCATGTCATTGGCTCACAGCCCCCCCCCTCCGCCGGACTGCGGTGACCCCACGGAGACGGGGGGGGGGATCCGAGGTGCCGCTGAGCACCGGCGGCGGCCCTGACGCCGCAGGTGCGGGCGGTGACGTCACGGCGCGGGATGAGTCACGGTGCCGTGATGCGGTCCCCGGGCACGCAGCGCCCCCCCCACACCCGGTGCCCGCCCCGGGGACAGCGGCAACGGCGGCAGCGGGGACAGCGGTGAGCGGCTCCCCCCCCACCTCCCACAACCCCCTCGAGCCCCCACAGGCACCCCCCGGTACCCCAATTGTCCCCCCTGGAACCGCTGTATTCCCTCCTCTGGGACCCCCATTGCCCCCCCTTGGGATGCCCAGTGTCGCCTCTTTGCACGCTGTCCCCTCCCCGGGACCCCCATCGCCCCCGTCTCAGGACCCGCAGTGTCCTCTCTCCGGGACTCCCGTTGTCCCCCTGGGACACCCCCGGGTCTCCAGACCCTCTCAGGAGGAGCCCCCGATCCTCTCCCCTGCCCTTCACTCCCCCGTTCCTCTGACACCCCCCTCGTGTCCCCCCCAGCGCTGACCCCACTGCCGTGAGGAGCTCCCGGGTCCCAGCTGCCGGCGGGGCTCTGGGGGCCCGGCAGTGCCCCCCCCTCACCGCCCCCGTTAACCTCTCGCAGGCCGCCGCCCCCTCTCCGCCCTCCTGCTCCGCGGAAGGACGGCCCTGGGCGCTCTGCTGCGCTGCTTCCCCTGCGAGCGGCTCTGCGGGGGGGCCGCGGTGCCCCCCGGGGCGCTGCCGCCCGCCACGGGCCCCCCCCGCCGCCGCCGGTCCCCCCGCACGTTCCGCAGCTACCTGCCCCGCTCGCACCGCACCTACAGCTGCGTGCACTGCCGCGCTCACCTCGCCCGCCACGAGGAGCTCATCTCCAAGGTGCGCCTGGGGCTCTGAGCATCCCCCGGGGCTGCCCAGGGGCTCTGAGCATCCCCCGGGGCTGCCCAGGGGCTCTGAGCATCCCCCGGGGTGGCCCAGGGGCTCTGAGCATCCCCCGGGGTGGTCCAGGGGCTCTGAGCATCCCCCGGGGTGGTCCAGGGGCTCTGAGCATCCCCCGGGGTAGTCCAGGGGCTCTGAGCATCCCCCGGGGCGGCCCAGGGGCTCTGAGCATCCCCCGGGGTGGTCCAGGGGCTCTGAGCATCCCCCGGGGTGGCCCAGGGGCTCTGAGCATCCCCCGGGGTGGCCCAGGGGCTCTGAGCATCCCCCGGGGTGGCCCAGGGGCTCTGAGCTTCACCCCGTGGTGGCCCCGCGGCAGTCGGTGTCCCCCCCCCGGGGCCCCTCTATAGCACACGTCCCCCGCGGGGTCCGCAGGGTGCTGAGCGTTGCCTCAGTGCCCCCAGGGCAGTCGGTGTCCCCCCGGGCTGGAGGGTGCCCCCAGTGTCCCCAGTGTCCCCCCGGGCTGGAGGGTGCCCCCATGGTGCTCACATCGCGGTGTCCCCTGTGCTGTCTCGCACGGTGATGCAGCGGGGGGGGGGGGTACACACGGGGTGTCGGGGTCTGGGGGCGCAGCCGGTGACTCCCGCCGTGTCCCCGCAGTCGTTCCAGGGCAGCCACGGCCGTGCCTACCTGTTCAACTCGGTGTGAGTACCGCGCACCGGGACGGCAGACAGCGGGGGGGGGTGGCAGCAGGCAGTGACCGGGCTGCGGTGCTGCCGGTGCTGCCGTGCCGGTGGGACACGGCTCTCTCGGTGCAGGGTGAACGTGGGCTGTGGCCCTGCGGAGCAGCGGCTGCTGCTGACGGGGCTGCACTCGGTGGCCGATATCTTCTGCCAGAGCTGCAAAACCACCCTGGGCTGGAAATATGTGAGTGACCCGTGAGTGGGCATCCAGAGCCCTGACCTGCGCTCCAGTCCTGAGCCTGCACCCCAACACTGCCCCTGAACCCTGCACCCCAACCCTGCCCCTGCACCCCAACCCTGCCCCTGAACCCCGCACCCCAACCCTGCCCCTGCACCCCAACCATACCCCACATCCCAACCCTGTCCCTGAACCCTGCGCTCCAATCCTGACCCTGCACCCCAACACTGCCCCTGAACCCTGCGCTCCAATCCTGACCCTGCACCCCAACACTGCCCCTGCGCCCCTGAACCCCGCACCCCAACCCTGCCTCGCACCCCAACCCTGCCCCTGCACCCCAACCATACCCCACATCCCAACCCTGTCCCTGAACCCCAACCCTGCCCCTGCACCCTGCCCCTGCACCCCTGCCCTGCCCTGCACACCAACCCTGCCCCACATCCCAACCCTGTCCCTGAACCCCAACCATACCCCACATCCCAACCCTGCCCCTGCACCCCAGCCTTGTCCCAGCAGCCCAACCCTGCTCCTGAACCCCAGCCCTGTGTCTGCACCCCAGCCCCACCCAGGTACCCCAACCCCTGGTCTGCATCCCAACCCCCGGCTGTGGCTCCCCCTGGTCACCCTGCAGCCAAGGTGAGGGCAGCCCCTGGGCACCCCCCACCCCGGCCTGGGGTCCCCCTCGGCCACGGGGGTCTCACGCACCCCCCCCCCCCAGGAACAGGCCTTTGAGAGCAGCCAGAAGTACAAGGAGGGGAAGTTCATCATCGAGATGTCCCACATGGTGAAGGAGAACGGCTGGGACTGAGTGCGGGGGGCACCCCCAGCACCACCCATGGTGGGTGCTGGCAGCAGGTGCCCATCGCCCCCCACCCGCTGCAGCCGCTGCCTCGGGGCTTTTCTAGGGCAATAAAAGCTTTTTTGTAGGAGGGTGGGAGGTGTCAGCACCCCCGCTCTGCCCGAGGGGGAGCCCCATAACCCCCCAAGTGCCCTCCCCGCCCCGGGCTGCCCCTGTCCCATCCCCATGCAGGCACCGTGCAGAGCTCAGGGCGTTTATTGGAGGCCAGAGCTGGTGGGGAAACTGAGGCACGGGGATGCACATAGTGCTATGTGGGGCTGGGGGCGAGGAGTGGGGAGGGGGGGGGGAGAGAAGGGAGGATGGGGGGAAAGAGGAAGAGAGGGAGAAACAGAACCGGGGAGGAGGATGGAGGGAGGGAAGGAGGTAGCAAGGGAAAAGAGGGAAGGATGGGGCTGGAGAGTGCCTGGAAGCAAAGAGGGAGGGGGAAGGAAAGAGAGGAGATGGAGGGACAGGGAACGGAGGGAGGGAAAAGAAATAAAGAGGAAGGGAGAGAGGGAGGGATGGGAGCAAGGAAAACAGGGACAAAGGGGAGATGGAAGAGGGGCTGGAGGGAAGGAGGCAGGGAGGGACCGAGGGAAGGACAGAGAAGAGGGAGCAGGGAGGGATGGATGCAGGGAGGGGTCAGGGCGGGGGGTCGCTGAGGCGGCCCATGAAGACGGGGACGTCGGCGCTGTCGTGCCAGAGGACGAAGAGGAAGGGGCGCAGCGCCTCCAGCACCGGAGCCGAGCGCGCCACCGACGTGGCCATGGCCCCCGCGGCCTCCACGCCCGCCTCGTCCAGCGCCAGCACCGCGCGGTGCCGCGCAGCGTCCACGGCCACGGCTGCGCCCCGCGCCAGCCCGCACAGCTCCGCGTCCAGGAACAGCCCGAAGTCTGCGGGGAGGGGCGGCGTGGAGGCACCACGGGGGGAACGGGGGCGTCAGGGATGGGGAGGCCCAAGGGGACGTGGGGGACACCAGACACAGTGAGGCGATGCGGGGACAAGGGGGACTTGAAGGGCACTGGGAGCCATGGGGTGCAAAGGGGTGGTGGGGACATGAGGGAGAGCAGGGATACTGGGGAACACCAGAGGTACGGGGTCCCTGGGGATGCTGAGGAGCACTGGGGATGCTGGGGTCCCTGGGGATGCTGAGGAGCACTGGGGATGCTGGGGTCCCTGGGGATGCTGCGGTCCCTGGGGATGCTGCGGTCCCTGGGGATGCTGGGGAGCACTGGGGATGCTGAGGAGCACTGGGGATGCTGGGGTTCCTGGGGATGCTGGGGAGCACTGGGGAAGCTGCCGTCCCTGGGGATGCTGGGGTCCCTGGGGATGCTGGGGAGCACTGGGGTCCCTGGGGATGCTGGGGAGCACTGGGGATGCTGGGGTCCCTGGGGATGCTGGGGAGCACTGGGGATGCTGGGGTCCCTGGGAATGCTGAGGAGCACTGGGGATGCTGGGGTCCCTGGGGATGCTGCGGTCCCTGGGGATGCTGCGGTCCCTGGGGATGCTGGGGAGCACTGGGGATGCTGAGGAGCACTGGGGATGCTGGGGTTCCTGGGGATGCTGGGGAGCACTGGGGAAGCTGCCGTCCCTGGGGATGCTGGGGTCCCTGGGGATGCTGGGGAGCACTGGGGTCCCTGGGGATGCTGGGGAGCACTGGGGATGCTGGGGTCCCTGGGGATGCTGGGGAGCACTGGGGATGCTGGGGTCCCTGGGAATGCTGAGGAGCACTGGGGATGCTGGGGTCCCTGGGAATGTTGAGGAGCACTGGGGATGCTGTCGGCACCGGGGACACGGGGACCATTGGGGTCCCTGGGGACACCGGGAACGGGACCGGGGCTGGTGACGTCACCGCATGACGTCATCGCGCTCACCCATGTCGTGCACCAGCGGCACCACGTCCAGGGCCGCGTCGAGGCGCACGCGCGGCAGCGCGAGGGCGGTGGCGCGGGGTGGGGCGCGGGCCGCGCGCCGGAGCAGGCGCAGCAGCGCGGGGGGGTCCAGGGCGCGCTCCAGCGCCTGCAGCGCCCCCGGCGGCCCCAGCGGCAGCAGCAGCACCAGGCTCAGCCCCCCCCGCAGCGCCAAGCGCCCGACCTGCGGCAGAGGGGACCCCCGCACCGTGAGGGGCGGAGCCCGGGGGGGCGGAAACCGCGTGAGACGGACAGGGCCGAGTGACACCGCCCCTCCAGTGACACCCTCATGTGAGACAGAAACCGTGTGAGACAGCCCCCAGTGACACCCCCACAGTGACACCCTCATGTGAGATAGCCCCGAGTGACACCCCCCCAGTGAGACAGCCCCGAGGGAGACAGAAACCGCGTGAGACGGACAGGGCCGAGTGACACCGCCCCCCCAGTGACACCTCCCCGAGTGACACCCTCATGTGAGACAGAAACCGTGTGAGACAGCCTCCAGTGACACCCCCACATTGACACCCTCATGTGAGATAGCCCCGAGTGACACCCCCCCAGTGAGACAGCGCCGAGGGAGACAGAAACCGTGTGGGACAGCCCCCAGTGACACCCCCACGACACCCTCATGTGAGATAGCCCCGAGTGACACCCCCCCAGTGAGACAGCGCCGAGGGAGACAGAAACCGTGTGAGACAGCCCCCAGTGACACCCCCACAGTGAGACAGCCCCCAGTGACACCCCCCAGTAAGACAGCCCCCAGTGACACCCCCGAGGGAGACAGAAACTGTGTGAGACATCACCCAGTGACACCTCCACAGTAACACAGGCCCCAGAGACACCCCCACAGTGACACCCCCCCAGTGAGACAGCCCCCGTGTGAGACAGCCCCCAGTGACACCCCCACAGTGAGACAGCCCCGAGTGAGACACACACCAGTGACACCCCCATGTGAGACAGCCCCGAGTAACACCCCCCACAGTGACAGCCCCGCGTGAGACACCCTCACAGTGAGACAGCCTCCATGTGAGACAGCCCCGCAGTGACACAACCCCTCAGTGATACCCCCCCCAGCGAGAGAGCCCCGTATGAGACAACCCCCCAGTAGCACCCCCCACCGTGAGTACACACCCCCCGGGATACAACCCCCTCCAGTGACACCCCCCCAGTGACTCCCTCTGTGACACCCCCCATAACACCCCGGGACATCCCCGGGAGACCTCTGCACCCCGAGATGTGGAGACCCCCAGTGACACCCGTGGGACCGCAGAACATAGAAAGCCCCCGGTGACACCGCAGTGGCATCGCAGCTCAGCACCCGTCCAGTGCCACAGCAGCGGTGTCACAGCCTGCACCCCGGCTCTCCCCAGCTGGGGGTACCTGGACCTGCAGGTGGGGGTCAATGAAAGAGGCCACCGGGTACTTCTTGCTGGTCATGGTGGGCACCAGGCGCGGGGGGCGCCCGGGGCGCAGGAAGGGCAGCGGCACCGTCTGCTTCACATCCAGCGGCGTGAGCCAGGCAGCTGCGGGGGTACGGCATCGGGAATGGGGATGGGCTCAGTGGGATGCAGGGGTGACCCCGGGATCAGCCCCTCACCAGATCCCAGGCACATACACAGAGCCATAGAATGGTTTGGGTTGAAGGGACCTCAAAGCTCCTCCAGCTCCAACCCCTGCCAGGGCAGGGACCCCTTCCACTGGAGCAGCTTGCTCCAAGCCCCTGTGTCCAACCTGGCCTTGAGCACTGCCAGGGATGGGGCAGCCACAGCTTCTCTGGGCACCCTGTGCCAGCGCCTCAGCACCCTCACAGGGAAGAGCTTCTGCCTAAGAGCTCAGCTCAGTCTCCCCTCGGGCAGGTTCAAGCCATTCCCCTTGGCCTGTCCCTACAGGCCCTTGTCCCAAGCCCCTCTCCAGGTTCCCTGCAGCCCCTTTAGGCACTGGAGCTGCTCTCAGGTCTCCCCTTCAGGAGCCTTCTCTTCTCCAGGCTGCCCCAGCCCAGCTCTCTCAGCCTGGCTCCAGAGCAGAGCTGCTCCAGCCCTCGCAGCAGCTCCGTGGTCTCCTCTGGCCTCGCTCCAGCAGCTCCAGGTCCCTCTGGTGCCGCTGCCCCGGCACACGGTGGCCGCGGACCTGCTCGATCCCGGGGCCAATCCCCCCCCGGGGCCGTACCCTGCAGGTGCACGGCGCTGAGCAGCACCAGCTGGGGCTCGGGGGGCAGCGTGGGCAGGAGCTCCGGCAGCAGCCCCCGGCTGGCCCCGCGCACCCAGGCGTTGATGCGCTGCAGGTCCAGGCTCTCGTTGCCGCTCAGTGCCCACGGGCGGGTGTTGTAGAAGCGCCAGGACTCATTGAGGAAGCGGGCCCGGAGGTGCAGGTCTGCCCGGTAGCACGGCTGCTGTCAGCCTGAGCCCGCGCCCCCGGCACCCCCGGCGCCCCCCGGCACCCCCTCACCTGGGTGGTGGAAGATCTGGGTGGCAGAGAAGAGCCCGGGCGCAGCGCGGAGGAGCCGCAGGGCGCTGTGCACGCAGCCCAGCCCCGGGGGGTACGCCAGAACGGCGGCCAGGCGCTCTCGGGTCTCACCACGGGCGCCTGCAGGCACGGGGCAGGCTCAGCACCGCACCCGTGGGGCACCCGGGCTGGCACGGCCGCGGTGCCGGCGCCTCACCCAGCAGAAGGTGCGAGAGCCCCATGGCCACGGTGATGGGGGAGAAGAGCAGGTTGGCCTCGGGCCGCTCAGCCTCCGCCATGCGCTGGTAGAGCCGGAGGGCGAAGGTGGACACGGCCTCGGACACGGCCGCACGCTGCTCCTCCGTGGGCTTCCCGCAGTCCTCGGCCGGCTCCTCGTCCCCGGGACACGGCGGGGCACCGGGTCCGGGGCTGTCGCTGGTGCTGCCGGGTGCCGGAGCTGCGGTGCTCCCGCTGGCCCTGGTGCCCGGCTCCATGGGTGCCCCCTCGGGCGCTGCGGGGCTGGGGGGGTCTGTGGCCTCGTGGGGAGCAGCCAGGGCAGGCAGCGGCTCGGGGTGCGCTCGGGGGGGCAGGACGGGGGCCCCCGCGTCCCCCCATGGTGCAGGGACAGGACGGGGCGGTACCGGCGGCAGCGAGGACGCCCTGAGCAGTTTCGGTGCGCTGGGAGAGGGCTCCGGGGTGGGCACCTGCGCACGGGGACCCGGGTGAGGTGGGCACGGGGACACCCGAGGGGTCAGGTGAGGGGAGCTCGTGTCCCGAGGCCACACTTACCAACGTGCCAGTGGCCGTGGCTGTGGCCAGCAGCCACACGAGGGGCAGCCAGAGCACCGTGGTGGGCATCCTGGTGGGCAGGTACGGGTCAAGGGAACCCAGCACCCCCACCCCAGCTCCCGACACCGTCCCACCCCCCCGCACCCTGCAGCCCCGTTCCCTGCACCCTCATTCCCTCCCCCCCTCGCGGTATCCCGGTCTGACCCGCGGGGTGCGGGGGGCAGGCAGGGGCAGTTCCCTGCGCCCACCTGGGTGCCGGCGGCTCGGGGCCCGCGGGTCCGGTCGGCTCCGGGGGTTGTGCCCGGGTCCGGCCTGGCCTGGTTAAAGATTAAGGAGCTGCCGGCACTTCCCGTAAATCAGCCCGGGGGGGGGCAGGCGCAGGCGCCCGAGGCAGGATGCGGCCCCCCCTTCCAGTCCCACGGTGCTGCAGTGCTGGAGGACCAGCCCCTGGGGCAGGCTCCCTTTGGAGGTGGGGTGCTCTGGGACCCCCTGTATAACCCCTGTGGGGATGAGGGGCAGTGTATCCACCCCACTGCCCGCTCTCCATGACCCGTGTGGTGACAAGGGGCAGTCTAGCCTCTCAACTGTCCCCTATCTGTGATCCCTGTGGTGACAAGGGGCAATCTAGCCACCCAATTGCCCCACCTCTATGACCCGTGTGGTGTCTCACCACTCAAGCTGCAGCTCAAGCTCCCCAACCTTGTCTCTGTGACTGGGGGGATGCTGTCCCCAAGGAGCCTTCCCACCCCAGAACCAGCAAGGCAGAACCTCCTGCCCCTGGCCGTCAGCTGTGGGGTAGGCTGCCCTCGCCACACCTCCCTGCAAGCCCTAGGGCAGGGACACCCATGGGTGCCCCCCTGCCAGCGCGGCCATGCCCGCGGCCATGTGGGGCAGGTCTGGCCCCTCGCTGCCGACTCCGGTGCCCCAGGCTGCCCAAGGCTTTCTGGCCCCTCATCACCCAGTCTCCATTGCCCTGGGGTGCCCGAGGCCCCGTTCTTAACGTCCGTGACGCGGGGCGTGTCCCGGTGAAGCCCCGCCCACCGGCGTTGGCAATCGCTGACCATGGCTGCGAGGCTCGCCAAGGTGCGTGTGGCACCGGGGCACCGGGGCACCGGGGGCTGGACGGGGCTGCGGGGCGGCAGCGGGACAGCAGTGAGGTCTTGGTGCCAGCACCGAGTGGTGCCAGCACCGGGGGAAGGGGCGGCGGAGGGATGAGGGAATCCGGTACCCGGGTGCAGGGATGCAGTGGGTCTCGGGGTGCGGGTGCAGAGAGGTGGGGGACAGCAGTACTGGGGCAAAGGGTCTCCGGTGCAGGGGCTACCGGTGCAAAGGGTACAGGGGATGCCGGTGCAAGGGTACGGGGGATGCCGGTGCAAAGGGTACAGGGGATGCCGGTGCAGAGGGTACAGGGGATGCGGGTGCAGGGGTGTCAGGGGATGCCGGTGCAGGGGGTACGGGGGATGCCGGTGCAGGGGTGTCAGGGGTGCCGGTGTCGGTTGAAGCCAATCCAGCCCTGTCGGGGAGCACCGCGCTCAGGTTTCGTTTCCCTGGTGGGAGCGGATCCGAGGCGGGGCGGGGCTTTGCTGTGCCCCACCCTTATGGGGGGGACGGGGCGTGGCCAAGCGCTGCGGCTCCGCCCTTAAGGGTGGGTCCCGTCCATGGGGGCGCGTCCCTCGGAGCGGTCCAGCCAATGGGAGCTCAACTCTAGGGAAGCCCCGCCCTGACGGGCGTGTCCGGTCTGACCGCGCCCGTTTTCCGCCCCGCAGGAGCTGGAGGAGGCGCGGCGCTGGGGCGGGGCCCGGGAGCTGCGGCTGCTCGACGGGAACGTGCTGCGATGGGGGGGGATCCTGCTGCCGGTGCGGGCCCTGGGGGGGCATCGGGGGGGCCCGGAGTGGAGGGTGGCCCCTGTGGAAGTGGAGGAATGGGGACCCAATGGGGTCTCCAGGGGTGTCCCTGTGAGGGCAGCGTGGGGCGGGGGGCACCGGGTTGGGGTTCCCCTCCTGCGGGCTCAGGCTGGGGGAGGTCTCCATGGGGAGCACAGGAGATCACGGCTGGGACGGGGTCCCCCCCGATGGGTGCTGGGGGGGTGCTGATGTGTGCCCCCCATCACCGCGGCAGAACAACCCCCCGTACAACGCCGGCGCCTTCCGGTTCGAGCTGACCTTCTCGCCCCACCACCCGCTGTCCCCGCCCCGCGCCAGGCTCTGCACCAGCATCTACCACCCCGGCGTGGACGCCGAGGGCCACGTGTGCCAGCCCCTCACCTCCACCCAGCACTGGGTGCCCAGCACCCGCGCCACACAAGGTGGGCACCCCGGGGGTGTCGGGGGCACGGCACCGGGGGCGCCCAGGGGGTGCCCGTCCTGACCGCCCCCCCCCGGTGCCCGCAGTGCTGCAGGACCTGCTGCTGCTGCTCGACAGCCCGGACCCGCAGCGGGTGCTGCGGCAGGACCTGGCCCGGGAGCTGCGGGAGCGGCCCGAGCTGTTCCATCGCCGCGCGGAGGAGCACACGCGGCGGCACGCGGAGCCGCGGCCGGAGCCCTGAGCCCGCTGCGGGGCTTCACCTGTGCGGGTTCATAAAGGGTCTCCTGCTCCCGCACCGGCCCCGCGGGGTCTCACTTGGGGGAAGGGGGCACCGGGGGGTGTCAGTGCGGCCCGTCCATCACCACAGCCTTTACTGGTGGGACCGCAGCAGAGGGGGGTCCCGGGGGGGGGTGCGGGGGCTCCGCTCAGCGCTTCTTGGTCTTCACGAGCCCCTTGGCCACGAGGCAGCGGTACAGCTCCTGCAGGTACGTGTAGACGCACTTGGCGTCGGGCACCGCCATTCGCACCATGTCCTCCACGTCCAGCAGCGGGGCGCAGCCCGCCCGCTCCCTGCGGGGACACGGGCTCAGCCGGGGCCGCCCGCCCGTGCGGGGCGCTCCGGGGCCGGGGCCGGGGCCGGGGCTGCTCTCACGCACTCGGCGGTGGCGAAGGCCACGGTGAAGTTGTGGCGCCGCGCACCCGGCTCCAGGCTGCCGTAGTCGAAGGCGTCGGGGAAGAAGCTGTGCAGGAGCGCGCAGAAGGCCAGGCCGCTGCCCCAGCTCCCCGAGAAGTTCTGCACGTCCACGTGCTGCAGCCGGCGGAGGGGTCAGGCTGCCCCACGGCCCCCCCACACTGCCCTATGGCTGCCCCACACTGCCCCATGGCTGCCCCACACTGCCCCACGGCCCCCCCACACTGCCCCATGGCTGCCCCACGGCCGCCCCACACTGCCCCACGGCCCCCCCACACTGCCCCATGGCTGCCCCATGGCCACCCCGCAGCGCTGCCCCTGTTCTCACCTCGTAGCCGCGGGTCCTGGCGCGGCACCACTCCAGCAGCATCGCCTTCACCGTGGCCGTGCCCCCTGCCCTCTTCAGGTGTGGGGCTGGCCCCGTGGCTGCCCTGTGGGCAATGCCAGGCACCGTGGAGCACCCCATACACCCCACCCCAGTATGCCCACTGACACATTGTCTCATGGCCCCCTCAACCCTCCTGCACCCTCCATTTGCACATGGACCCCAAGTCTCCCCATGTGCACTACTGCCCCCTGCCTCCCATGCCCCCATTGCCCCATGGCCCCCCAGTACCTCTCCTGTCCCATGGCTTCCATTCCTCTGTGGCCCTCTCTGCCCCATGTCCCCCCCATATGCCCGTGCCCCTCTCCCGCCATAGGGCCAGGCCCCTCTCACCCTCCGAACTTCTCCAGGATGGCACTGCGCCCGTGAGCCCTGGTGCTCGAACGTGGCCGCCCCATGGCCCCCTCCAGCCTTGGCCTCTGCCCTGCTGGCCCAGGGGACACCTTGCTTCGCGGCCCCCCCGTTGGAGCACCCCTGAAGGCACATGGATGGGTGCACATGGGGTGCTCTGCAATGGGGCTGGGCTGTGGGGCACCCATGGGGCTGTGCCCCCCCTGCCCACACTCACCTCTCGCTGTCCCCCAAGCCCTCAGTGGTGCCAGCTGCAGGGGACAGAGGAGGGGTTGTGGAGGGAGGGGGCACCAGGGGGTCGGGACAGCCGCATCCTCCCTGGGCACCCCCAGTGCACAGGGCTGGAGGTCCTGCCCCATGGGAAGGGGGTGGGGGGAATCTGTAGGGGACCCCATGGGGGTGTGGGGTAGCGGTGACCCCAGGGTCCTGCCAGGCACAGCCCTTACCTGTGGGGGATGTGGGAGACGTGGGAGATGTGGGAGACGTGGGGGACATAGGGGATGTGGGGGACGTAGGGGATGTGGGGGACAGGGGGGATGTTGGGGACAGGGGGGTTGTGGGGGACAGGGGGGACGTGGGGCTGTTGGCAGGGAACTCGGGCCACAGCTCCTCATCCTCGTCCTGCATCCAGGTCGGCTCCTGTGGGCACAGCCAGGGTGGCACTGACGGCACAAGCGCCGCCACCTGCCCTGGTGCTGCCACCATGGACAGCGTCACCCTGCCCCTTCCCTGCTCCCTGCCCTGGCACCAGCGGCACCCTCAGCCTCACCCGCTCCATGGCACAGCCGCTGTGGGAGCCCTCACCCTGTCCCTTCACTGCCGCCCTGCGCTGGCACCTCCACCCCCGGCCCCGGCCCCGGCCCCGGCCCCCCGTGTCTCACCGGCCGCCCCGGGGTGCTCCCTGCTGCTGCCGGCCCTGCCCCAGCCGCCTCCTGCGGCCCCCCCGGAGCAGCCCCCGCGGCTGCCACCGCCTTGGCATCACCCCCGGTGTCACCCCCAGCACCTCCAGCGTCACCCCCGGTGTCACCCCCAGCGCCCCCGGTGTCACCCCCGGTGTCACCCCCAGCACCTCCAGCGTCACCCACGGCATCACCCCCGGTGTCACCCCCAGCACCCCCGGCATCACCCCCAGCATCACCCCCAGCGCCCCCGGCATCACCCCCGGTGTCACCCCCAGCGCCCCCGGTGTCACCCCCGGTGTCACCCCCAGCACCTCCAGCGTCACCCCCGGCATCACCCCCGGTGTCACCCTCGGCAGCCCCCGCTTCTCCCCCGGTGTCCTTCAGTGCTTCTCCCCCGGCACCCCCTGTGTCCCCCCCACTGCCCCCCACGTCCTCAGCCTCCCCCGCCGTGTCCCCCGCTCCCTGGGCACTGCCCCCCGCATCCCCCTCTGCATCCCCCCCCACCCCGCTGCCCCCCCCTCCATCCTGAGCCTCCCCCTTGGTGTCCCCCCCAGCGTCCCCCGCTGCCCCTGGCCCCTGCTCTTCCCCCCCAGCCCCCCCCGCTCCTTGGGGGTCTCCCCCCTCCCCGTTGCCCTCCGCTGGCGCCGCGGGAGGCTCTGGGGGGGCGCTGGGGGTTTCCGGGGTGGGGGTGCCCGGTGGGGGGGTCTCGATGTCTCCCAGGGGCTGCATGGCGCTGTGGTCACTGCTGCGGGGGCACAGGGCTGTCACTGGGGTGCCCCCCCTTGCCCTAGCCCGGCCCCGTGCCCTCCCTCAGCCGTGGCACCCCCATTGGCCCCCCCAGTCCCCTGCCCCTGCCCAGCCTGCATTCCCATCCAGGCTCCCCCGTGCCCCTTCCCGACACCCCAGTCTGCCCCCCCCGCCTCCTCCAGACCCCCCAATACCGGACCCCCCTATCCCAGCCCCCCGTATCCCACGTCCCACCCCGACTCCCCCATTCCCCCCTCCCGACCCCCATTCCCCCTTCCTTCTCCCCCATACCTGCTCCCTACCCCACGTTTCCCATCTTAACCCCACTAAAGCCCCTCCCGCACCCAAATTCCCCCTCCCGATCCGTCAGACTCCCTCCGGACTCCCCTTGACCCCCCCCCCCCCCCCTTCCCGATCCCGTTGTGCCCCGATCCCGTACCCCGTACTCCCCCTCCGGCTCCCCGTGTCCTGTCCCGACCCCCTCGGAGCCCCTCCCGGACCCCATTATTTCCCGTCCCGACCCCTCACCTCGCCTCTGGCGCCTCCCCCAACCCTTCACCCTCCCCCCCGATCCCCGCTGCGTCCCCGCGACTTCCCCATGCATCGCCCCCCTCCCCCGCCGCCCATCCCGAGCCCCTCTTCCCCATCTCCTGCCCCCCAATTCCCAATCCAGACCCCCCCTGACCCCCCGTCCCCCCCGCCCCCCCGTGTCCCCCCTCCGCCCCCCGTGTCCCGGCCACCCACGTCCCCCTCCCCGTCCCCCGTTGCCCCCTCCCCGTGTCCCCCCTGTGCCTCCCTCCCGGTTGACCCCCGGCGCGTCCCCGGTGCCTCTCGCCCCGTCCCGTCCGGTCCGGTCCGGTCCCGCTCCGGCCGCTCCCGCTGCCCCCGCCCGCCCGCCCGGGGCTATTTTTACCCGGCGGGGCAGGTGCCGCCTTCAGTCACCGCGCGCCGCGGGGCACGCGTGGGGCCGGGGGGGCGCGGGGGGACGTGGGGCCGGGCGGGGGGACACGAGCGGGGCACGGGAGGGTCCGGGACAGCGGAGACGGGGGGGGACGGGGGGAGGGACGGGAGGGACACGGGGGGGGACACAGGCACGAAGGGGGCACGGGGAGGACACGGGAGGGACACGGGGGGGACACGGGGGGACCAGGCACGGGGGGGACACGGAGCCCCCCGGGACGGGCACGGGGCGGAGCCTACCCCAAGCCCCGCCCCTCCTCGGGGGTGCCTCCCCCCCCCCGTGAGGGGGGAAATCGCGCGCCCCCCTCTCCCCTCCGAGGCTGCTGGCGCCACCACGCCCCCTCTCGCGCCTCCCAATCAGCGCTGGGGACGAGGTCCTGTTCCCCACCAGCCTGGCTTCTTATTGGCTGAAGCCTGCGCTGGGGCGGGGTTGTTCTGCGTGTGGGCGGAAGTGCGGCGCCCACGTGGTTCCTGCCGGGAGCTGCCGCCGGGTCCCGAGTCGGGACGAACCGAACCGAGTGGGACCGAACCGAGAGCGCCCCGAGCCGAGAGGGGCCCGAACCCAGCCGAGCGGGGCCGAAGCGAGAGCAGCCCGAACCCAGCCGAGCGGGGCCGAAGCGAGAGCCCCCGAACCCAGCTGAGGGGGGCCGGAGCGAGAGGGGACGAAAGGAGCGGGGCAGAACCGAACGGGGCAGAACCGAGCGGGGCCGAGCGCAGCCGAGCGGTACCGAACCGGCCGGCACCGTTGCGCACCGCCATGGACCCGCTGCGGGCGCAGCAGCTGGCAGCCGAGCTGGAGGTTGACATGATGGCAGACATGTACAACCGGTGCGCGCAGCGGCAGTGAGGGGCCGGCGGTGCCCGGGCATGGGGGTCCCTGGGGATGCCCATGGCTGGGGAAGGTCACTGAGGGTGCCAGTGGCTGCGGGACCCTGGGTGTACCCGGGTGTGCTGGGGATGGGGGCTCTGGGGGGGTGCCCGTGTCTGGCTGGGGGTCACTGGGGGTGGCTGGGGAATGAGGACCATGCGGGGTGCTCATGGCGAGGGGGGCACTGCGGGTGCTTATGGCTGGGGGGACACTTGGGATGCCTGGGTTTGTGGGGTCACTGTGGGTGCCCACGGCTGGGGAGGATGCTGGGGGATACAAGAGGCCCTGGGGGTCCGTGTGGTGCTGGGGCTGGTGGGGTGTCAGGAGCACGGGTCTGCCTGGGACATGGGGTGCACTGGGGGTGGGCACATGGGGGTGCTGGGTGGCAGCGGGGCCGCAGGGCCTGAGGGTGCCGGTGCGGTGCAGGATGACGCAGGCGTGCCACCGAAAGTGCGTGCCCCCCCACTACAAGGACGCGGAGCTGTCGAAGGGGGAGAGCGTGTGCCTGGACCGGTGCGTGGCCAAGTACCTGGAGGTGCACGAGCGGATGGGCAAGAAGCTGACGGAGCTGTCGCTGCAGGACGAGGAGCTGCTGCGGCGCATGCAGCAGGGCACCGGCACCGCCTGACCCCGCGCCCCAATAAACCGGAGCCTTCGGGCCAGCTCCCGAACCCCTCATGGGATGTGCTGGGGCTCATGGTGAACCTGCCGAGTGCTGCGGGGGGCACCCCCCTCGTGCCGTCCCCAGCCACCGCGTGCTGTGTCCTTGAGGGGGCACCCGGGGTGTCCCCCCTTGCCCAGCCCAGCCCGGCCCATGTAATCCCCAGGATTAGGCAGAGCTGGGCTGAGCCCCTCGTAATCCCCTGCAGGGTGGGGACGGGGCTCTGCCCCCCCCGTCTGCCTGGGCAGACACTGGAGGGGACACACATGGGGACGTGGTCCTGCAGCAGCCGGAGGGGGACAGGGACAAAGGGATGTGAGGGTGGGACAGGGGCACCCCTGAGGCACGCAGCCCTGATGGGGGCACCCAGCCCTGCGCAGGGACCGCACAGGGACATCCAGAGACCCCTGGCAGGGGCGCTGGGGACACCCGAGGGGGAGCAGCTGAGGTGTGGACATCCGCACACAGCACAGGGGCAGGCAGCGATTCCAGGGGCCTCCCAGTGCTCCCCAGAGCTGCAGCAGCACTGGGACCCCGCAGTGCCTGGTGAAGGGCACCTGCAGAGGGGGTGACACCCCGGGGGGACCCACGCCGTGGGTGGGCAGCGCCCCCCTGTCTGCCTGTCCATCTGCGTGTGGGTGCTGTGGGTTGTGGGGGGCAGTGGGGGGGTGCGGGAGGCGCGGGGCTCCCGGTGGGTACCGCATGGCGGTGGGTGCAGGGTACAGGGTGGGTGCAGGGTGCAGGGTGGGGGTTGCAGCACCGGGGGGGGTGGGGTTTCTCCGTCCATCCCCGTGTTCGTCTGTTCCCCCCCCGCGGTGCCGGCCCCGGTGCAGCCGCGCTGCCATCAATATTTCAGCTGGAGCAGGCGGTGACCTGGAAAGGCAGCGAGTGCCTGAGTGTGCGCATGTGTGTGTGTGCGTGTGTGTGTGCGTGTGTGTGCATGTGTGCGTGTATGTATGCATATGTGTGTATGTATGTGTGCTTGTGTGTATGTGTGTATGTATGTGTGCGTATGTGCATGTGTATGTGTGCATGTATGTGTGTGTATGTGCATGTGTATGTATGTGTGCATATATGTATGCTTGTGTGTGTGTATGTATGCGTATGTGTATGTATGTGTGCATGTGTATGTGTGCTTGTGTGTGTGTATGTGCATGTGTATGCATGCATGTATGTGTGTGCGTATGTGTGCATGTGTGCATGTATGTATGCGTATGTGTGTATGTATGCATGTATGTGTGTGTGTATGTGTGCATGTATGTATGTGTGTATGTGTGCATGCATATGTGTGTATATGTGCATGTGTATGTGTGCATGTATGTATGCTTATGTGTGCATATGTGTGTGTGTGTATGTATGAGTGTATGTATGTGTATGTATATGTATGCATGCGTATGTGTATATGTGTGTGTGTGTGGGTGTGTATGTGGGTGGGGGGTGTATAGGTGTGTGTGTGTATGTGTGTGTGGGTATGTATGTGTGTGTGGGCATGTATGTATGCATGTGTACGTGTGTGTATATATGTGTGTGTGTGTCCCCCCGCCCGCAGCCGCAGCCAGGCGTCGCTCTCCCAAAATAAGACC